GTGTCTCTTGACTTGTTTACAGGAAAGATGCCGCTCCCATTAGCTGACTGGGTGCAGAGAAAAGCTAAGGACTCCCGAGTTCCTTTTGAGACTTATCATTAGCTTATCTAAATAAAGACAACTGTGGGTTCCTGAATTTCCCCAGCAGCTCCAAAGGCAGCCACGGCCTAAGCTAAGGTTTTTGTTCTTACCAGAAGTAACTGTGAAAACGTTTTAGTAGCCTACTAAAAAATAAAGTATGGTGAAAGTCAGAAATGGTGCATCCTCCTGCCCCAGGAAGCCAGGGGTGACCCCTTCCCATCTGTGGGTGTGCGGGGACATGCCTGGGAGCCCTGAGGTTCTGCTGCTGATAGCAAGTGATCATGGAAGAGATGTGGGGACATGGAAGAAGAAAACCATATTGAAGGCTAGTGCAAAAGGGAAAGAGAAACCAAAGTTGCCCCAACTGTGGCCTGGTGGCTTCTGGAACAGAAGGTTTCTCAGAGACTGGAAGGTCTTGTTGCTGGCAGTGATGACAGTAATCCTAAAGCCCTATTTTCATTTTTGACATGTTAATTATGAGTAGGGTTCTTTCAGGATGTATGCCTAATGAATGAATGAATTAGCATGTAAAGAAAAGCAGTCATTCCTCACTTAGCTGTGGAATTATAGTGCCAAAAGGAGTTCTTGGAGATAATTGACTTAAAAGCCTCATTAAAAATATAAAGGAACAAACATTCGAAGGGCCTGTGGGGAGAGTGGATGAGGATAGTGACTTAATAGGTTCGGGTGTTCTAGGGTGACGAAAAGTTCGACCCAGAGAGAGGTGGTGGTTGCACAACATTGAGACTGCACCAAGGCCCCTGAGTCATACGCTTTAAATTGGCTAGTTATGTGCTGTGTGAATTTCACCTCAATTAAAAAAAAATAAAGTCCTTGAGTGCAAGAGAGGCTGCTGCTCCCAGAGCCACTCAGCCCCTCCTGTTGGGCTCAAGGACATTTTGGGATGTGGTTGCCACACCTGAGGGATATGGGCCTCTTCAAGCCTGGGGCACAGGGACTCCTTAAAGGCACATTCCATTTCTGTATATCTCTACCCGAAGTGACTTTCTGAGGCAGATAATGGGATAAATTCTAACAAGAACAGATGTCTCCTTCATGCCTCATGCTAGACCTTCAAAAAGGGACAGACCAATCTTGGTTACTAACAAGTCATGGAAGAAGGTGATGGAATGTTTTGGGTCAGGATGCCTTCAAAGTCTGTGTTCATTATAGCCCAAATTGTGCATGATAGCCACTCACCCATCCTGTTTGGGCCCTAGCCAGCGTTTTAGCACCTAGGCCCTGGGATGGCCATTGCCAAGAGTGTATGGAGGATGTTGGCACCGATGCCAAGGATCAGGGGCTTCTCAATTGACAAGTGCCCCAGGCCTTTCCACGCTCTCCCCCTGCCCCAGCATTCCTAGCCATTGAGGGTGCCTCCCTGCCCTGGCCCCTGCAGACCTCAGCGACCCAGGGTGGGGCCTGCTCTGCTGTGAATCTAGCCGGCTGTCCAGGGACGATGCTTCAGTCTGGCCTGTGATGGGCTCAGCAGTGACAGACTCTCTGTAGGAAGGTCAGGACCAGGTGTCCTACACTGAGTGCCAGAAACAGACTGCCTCTGTTTAGCAGCTGAATCTAAGTTCCCAGCTCCTAGAGTTGTTGGGGATGGGGAGGGGAGGGGACAGGCTGTCCCTGCCACTGTTCTGGTTGCTCTGGCAGCCTGCACCCTGCACCCTCCCCCACCCTGGTGCCCAAAGCCCCCCTTGGGAAGGTGTCAGCAGCAGGAGCCGACTTCAGAATGAGCTACTGGCTCAGGATGGTGGCCTTTAGATGTCCTTGAACCAAATAACATGAGGCTGGCCCTGCTTGTTGTCAAAGGGCAGGGTATGCTGGAACACGCTGAACAAGGAAGCCCACATGGTGGCAGTTTACCCGACAAGTGAGGCACCACCAAGGAAAGGGAACCCTCAAAGAATGCATCCCTTCTCCCTGGGGGTCCTTCAGACAGGACTTCAGCTGTAGTCCTAAATGAAGCGTCACTATGCCGGGCCTCAGGATGGCTTCACAGGTGTGTGACCAGAGCAGTCATGTGGGGTCTGTGCCTGGCAGGGTTGTACTGGAGCTTTTTGCTCTGTAGTTGCAGTGCTGAAACTCTGAGCAGTGCTCTCTGCACCTGTGGTTTGTAAGAGCCACCCCAGAGACGATGGAGCCAGCTCCTGCATGATCCTGACTCCACTGTTTCTCCTGAAGGGGTCTTGGCTGCACCCCACCCCAGCCCCCTTCAGTCTCCTTCTCTTCACCCTGAGAAGTGACCTGCACGCGGTCTGTGGTGTCTCTGGTGGGACTCAGAGGCTGTCCTGCATCAGCAGGCCGTGCCAGAGCCACTCCCCAACCAGGTACCCAGGGTCTCTGAGAGCCTGCCTGCTGTGGGGCGACATGGGCATGGGAAGGGAGATGGCCTCGATGTGTTGGTTCAGCTGGAGCCCCAGTGAGAGACAGAGCTTCGGTGCCAGTGAGTGGCTGCACTTGAGTGTCCCTAGGCCTGAGGGAACAGCAGTTAAACCATCACAAGAGGTGGAGAGACTGTGGAGGAAGTGAAAACGTATTATATTTTAATGCCCTTGATAGCAATTTTTTCTGCTTTTTTAACAAGGGCCCTGCCTTTTCACCTGGCCCTGGGCCTGGCTGGGGAAACAGAGGCCTGTCAGCTCAGACAGCTGCACTTCCAGCAGTCACAGTTCAGTCGCCCATACTTCCTGCCAGCCCCAGCCCCAGCCCTGTCATCTGAGCACTCCCCAAGGCCACAGGGCCAGGCAGCCTCTGTACCTGCTTCTCCTCCAGCCCTGATGTGCTCTGCGGGGTGTTGCAGTGGCCACCTGTCCCCAGCTGCTGCGTCCTGCACTAAGCTGAGCAGATATGAGAAAGCATTTGCAAGCTTCTACGGCCACTAAGCAGAGTGGCTCTGGGCCTATCGAATCTAACAATACAAATTAGGACTTTTTTTCAGTTCACTTTTTTGAGTTTTCTTGTGTTTTACAGGCTGGTGATTGGAAGGCTGACTCTGGTTCCTTCCACAGCAGTTGGAATGAGACTCAAACAGGAAAATCCACAGGCACCTTTGCACCTGACAGCAGCTCTTTGACTCTGAGGCAAGCTTCTGGGGTGGTTCTTCCTGCCTCTGTCGGAGAGCTGGAGTCCCACATCGGGCTTGTTCGCTGACCCTGCTGCAATCTTGTGTTTTCATCATCCCAGCATTTTTTGCCAACTTGGATAGGGAAGTCTTAGTGACATGCATGTTCATGACGGGCAAAGTCACATTTCCATACGAAGGCAAGTGTGCGTGCATACGTGCGTCGGAGCTGGCCGTTTGCAGATGGAAATGATCTCAGCTCCTGCTCAGATGAAATGAAGATGTGTTTTTATATTGATGTCATATACCTTTTTAAAAAGTCATAGGACAGGCGCAGTGGCTCAAGCCTGTAATCTCAACAATTTGGGAGGCTGAGGGGAGACGATTGCCTGAGCCCAGGGTTAGTGACCAGCCTGGACAACTTGGTGAGACCTCATCTCTACAATAAATAAAAAATTAGCTGGGTGTGGTAGCGCATGCCTGTAGTTCCAGCTACTTGGAAGGCTGAGGTGGAAGGATTGCCTGAGTCCAGCAGGTCGATGCTGTGGTGGCTGTGAGCGTGCCACTGCACTTCAGCCTGGACGACAGAGTGAAACTCTGACTCAAAAAAAAAAAAAGTCATGATGAAATTTTCCATTCATAAATGGAGAATGCGTTTCAGCTAAGCTACTTACAAAATACTCCTCATTTTCAAAAAGGATTGACTCTCAATTTCAAAAACAGTATCAGGGTTCATTGTGGGAGGCTCAGGAGTCCAAAATGCTCTTCCTTTGTGGATTGTGTAACAGCAGCCATCGCCTCAAAGTTTGCTCCTACTGACAGTTGGAGGTGGCTGTGGGCAGGGTCCACGAGGTACCCCTATCCCTGGCCTAAGGTCTCAGAGGGAACAGCTCCGAGACAGGAAACAATGAATGAAGATTTTGTTTATTAAAAAAAAAAAAGTCCTCCATGCACTACCAATGAGACATGTCTTTCTGCCTTGTCCCTTTGTTTATCAGACATACTATCAAAACTCAATGCCTGGACAAGGTGGTGTGTGATGTTTTTGAAACTGCAGTCCAGGAAGGTGTGGGGTAACCCAGACCACCACGACACCAGGGTTGAGGGCCAGGCTGGTGCTTGAAGGCAGGTGAAGGAGGGAGAGAGGGATAAAAGGAGATTGAATGTGGCCCCGGCAGAGAAAAAACAAGGTGGAGAGAAGGAAGAAGAAATGGTGAAGGCTGAGTGATCTGTGTGTGGAAAATGCACACGGTCCATTTGGTGTTTATGGAATTTCATTTTTAGTAGAATATTTTTTAAATGTATAAATATCTTGTCATTAGTGCACCAATCTGGTGAGGACAGCTGGCAACCAGAACCCCCAGCCAGGTCTGCCTCCTCCTGTCTGGAATCCCACGCAGAGACGGTGCATTGCCCCGTGCTGTGGGGGGCCCATGTGAACCATTTTCTTTGGCACTCCAGCCCTGAGAAAACGTGCTGCACAGATGTGAATGGGCAGGTTTCCTAAGAACCCACCACTCCATTCCCAAGTGCAGCACCTTCCCCCGCCCTCCTGTGTATGACATTTCAGTCAAGGACAAGTCTCAGGATATTCTTTAAACTGCACGGTTTATAAAATATCCACACGTTGATTGCTAGGGCCTGGGCTTGGTCTTCTGTGCAAAGAAGAGGCCCTTCCTGAGAGGAGGCCCCTCTTCTGTTGGGGACAAGCTTGGCTCCCTGCTGTGAGATGCTGAACATGTCCAATCCTGAGAAAACCAAGACACACAACTCTACTTGGAAGCATCTTTTTTTTTTTAAGCAATGGAAACATAAGCAGAAATAATTGACATCCTCTGAGTACTCTGTGTGAGCTTTTCTATAAAACCATTTTATTTCATAGGGCAGGTAGTATTTGCTAGACACAACTGAGAAAAATGGCCAGAGAACAATCAGAGTTTTCTTAATAAATAACAAATGCCATTGGTATTTCCTAAACCTCATATAACACGATACACGTTTTAAATAAATAACCCGCTCTGCTATGTCTCTAAACACAGTCCCGGGGTGTGTGCGTGTTGTGGAGTGAATCCAGTTGCTGGGCTTGGACCTGCCACCCCAGTGCTGCCGTGAGGGCTGAGGCCACTTCCAAACCTCTGCCGTGGCCCCTGTGCCCTGTCGTGGACAGCAGTGTTGTGGCCCTAGAGGACAGCAAGAATGCCAGGGTCTGGGCTGATGAAGGTCGTGGAGTGCTCGGGGGTTGGCCTCCATCCCAGGCAGGTTTCCTGCTTCACTGCCTGGGGTGGGGGTTGGGGGTCACGGGACAACCTGGGCTGGTATCCTAGACAGGTCTACTGCTTCACCACCACCTTAAACTTCTTGGTGATTAGCTTCCAGGTCAGCAGAGGATGGGAAGTACAGGGAAATCTCTCAGGTGATATGACAGGTCCAAGTTCTGTCTGGTTTCTGACCTAGTGCTGGGCTCCCTGCCGGCATGTGGAGGCTGGCTCTTTGCTAGCTGGCACTGACTTGTGGGCTCTGGTGTCCTGTGCCTCATGGAACTCATAAGATTCTTTGGAAATAGCAGCTTGTTGTCACCAGAGTTCCCGCCAGCGTAGGGCTGACATGTTTTACTTCCCTGTGTCTGAAATACCTGAGAGACACAGGCTACCTGGGGCCAAGGTCTGTCCTGCCTTGCTGTTCCGTGAACATTTCGGCAGTGAGTGGCTCACGCCTACGAGGCAGGGCTGGCTGCATGGTACATTTTCTGGCTTGGTTCAGGCAGTCAGATGGTGGTGCCCATGGGCTTTTCTCACCGTTGCACTGAGCAGGAATTCTCATATTGGCTTTGTGTCTTTTCCAGGGGCATGTGCAAAAGGCAAGGGGCAATCATTCTTTTCAACACAGGATCCTTAATTGAAGTTTTCCTTGAAGGGCAGTTTATGAAGGATGCCCCAAGTTTCCCTCCACAGGTCATGTCTGGTCACTGCTCCTTAAACCTGAAAGAAGAGATAAAAGAACAGCTGTCTCAACAAGAGACACGGAACTTAACACACGATGACAATGACGTGCAAGATGACGTGCAAATCCCATAGAGATCACCGGGTGACACCCTCCTACAGAAGACTGGATGATAGCTAAACCCCTACACCATTCCATAGCTTCCAGATGGCCAGAGAGGAGAGGGAAGAAAAGAGGGAGGAGGAAGGGTGGAGATAGAAGGGAGGTGGGGAGGAAGAGGGAGGAGCAGGGGAGGGAGGAGAGAAGGGGAAGGGAGGGAGAGAGGAGGGAGGAGAGAGAAGGGAAGAGGAGGGGGTTGGGGGAGGAAAGAGAGGAGAGAAGAGGGAAGAAGGGGGAGAGGAAGGAGGAGGGAGGATGGGGGAGGGAAAAAAGAAAGGAGAGAGAGAGGAGGTAAGGAGGAAGGGAGGAAAGAGGAAGGAGGGAGGGAGGGAGGAGAAAGGAGAGGGGAGGGAGTATGGAAGGAAGGGGAGAGCCAGCAGCTCCAACGCAACGCCACATTTCTGCAGTCAGATTCTGAGATGGTCACAGTCATATCCACACACACGGGCATTTATTAGAAAAGAAAAAATGAGAGCAAATGCGAGGAGCCATGAAGGAACAAGTAGCAAGTTTATTTTCTCTCTCCTTGTAAGGCCCCAGGTGCGGAAGGCAGACAGGCCTGCACCCTGGAGCCTGCTTTCACCACTCAGGGAAGGCCCGAGTGGGGACTTACGGAACTTGGTCCCCCGTTGCGGATCCTGGACAGCTCAGCTCCTTGTGTATGAGACGGATCAGGAACTGTACCCAAACAAAAACAAGGCCACCTGTCACTGCCAGCAGAGACCATGCACTGCCAAGGCTGGTGGCTCTCCCCCATAGAACCTTCCAGGTGCCTGCCCCAGAGGACACCTCTCCTTGCAAGAGCAGCATGCTGTGCCAGCACCCTGAAGGCTTGGCCCCTGTACCTGACAGTCACCTTTGCAGGGGCAAGTCTGCATGACTGTGACATCAACACTGGTCTTCTGCACCCGGAAGAAAACTTGAAATCTTCTCAGTGAAGGAGGGACAGGAAGCAGAAGCCCACAGAAGGGGGCCAGAACACAGGGCGGCTGGGCCTCTGCACCAGCAATCTTAGCCCCTTACTCTCTCCCATCCTTCTGGGCAAAGGGAGTTGGGCTGCTCCCCTAGTGTGATAGCTGGAGGGACACAGGACACTGCAGGAAGCCAGACTCTGTGCATCACCTCCTTTATTCCCCAACAGTCCCTCGCTGAGAGTTACTGTTATGCCATTTTTTAAAGCTGTGGAAGCTACAGAGCAAAAAGACAGGTCACCTGCCCAAGTCACACACCCAGCAGGTGACAGGCAGGATCCAAAGCCACTGAGCGCTGTGCTCTTGGCCTTTGGCCATCCTGCCTGGGACTACAGAGCAACGGACTGATCTGCTTCTGTTTCTGACCTTTTTTTTTTTTTAACCTGAGAGAAAAAGGACCTTGGATCATGCACATTTAGGGAAGACGGGAGGACCGAAACCCCCTAAGAATCGCAGGACCCACAGGAAGAAATTTCACCATTAAAGGTGCTTGGATGAAAGACATGACTTACCAGTAAGGCACAAGCATCGGCAAACATCAGCATGTAAAACACATTGCTCCATCCCGAGGGAGAGATGAGCCCAGCCAGCAAGGGGCCCAGCGCGGCTCCTGAAACGAGGCACATGACACACGTAGTACATGCAGGTGAGGGATGATGCCAGCACATAACTACTGCTATGGAATGATGCTCCATAGCTCACTCACGAGAGGAAAACATCCAAGCAGTGACATTGCTTTCCTGCCTATCACATTGGTCAGAAGTAGACAGCTTAATACAGGCAGAGTATCCCAGATCCAAAAGTCCAAAATCTGAATTGCTCCATGATTTGAAACTTTCTGAGCACTGGCATGACAAAGGGCCTGCTCCCTGGAGCACTTTGGTTTCAGAGTTGGGATGCTCACTGGTACGTTACAAATATTCTAAAATCCAAAACCGAAACCTTTCTGGTTGGGAGCGTTTTGAGTAAAGGATGCTGGACTTGTACTGCTCAGTACTGGAAGGTGCAGTTGGCACTGCCATTTCCAGAAACAATCTTGAGAATGTGTGTTGATATGTGAAATGCTCATTCTCTTGACCCAACACTCCCATTACTTTCTTGAATGCGCTGCAAAAAAAAATCTGAATCCAATGCACAATCTCAAGGGTAAAACCAGAATAAGATGTGTAGCTGTTAACCCTCTCTTGATGCTCAGTTCCCAATTCTGATCACTGCACTGTGGTCACATCAGAGAATCCTTGGTTTTAGGGAGCACATCCCGAAGAGTTTTGAGCAGGGAGGCAGCGAGTGTATCTGTATTCTACTCTTTTTTTTTTGAGTTGGTGTCTCACTCTGTTGCCCAGGCTGGAGTGCAATGGAACACTCACGGCCACCCCAGTGTCGACTGCTGGGTTCCAGCAATCCTTCCGCCTCAGCCTTCCAAGTAGTTGGAACTGCAGTTGTGTGCTATCCCACCCGGCTAATTTTTTATTTATTGCAAAGACAAGGTCTTACCAAGTTGCCTGGGCTGGTCTCGAACCCACGGGCTCAGGCAATCCACTCTCCTCGGCCTCCCAAAGTGCTGGGATTACAGGCTGAGTCACTAAGCCAGGCCCTAATTTTTGATTTATTGTAGGGACAAGGTCGCCAAGTTGCCCAGACTAGTCTTGAACCTGCGGGCTGAGGCAATCCACTTGCCTCGACCTCCTAAAGTGCTGGGATTACAGTCTGAGCCATCAAGCCCAGCCTACATTCTACACTTAAGTGCTGTGGAATGATTATGCCTGAGTGTGCATAAGTGTGCATATATGTGCATGTGTAAGAACACACGAGAGATGCATGGTCAAGTGCAAGTGCTAATAGGTCAGTGGATTCTTTGTACTATTTTTGCAAGTTTTCTGTAAGTCTGAAGTTATTTTAAAATAATTTTTAAAACTATTAAAACAGAAGAAAGCAAGTATTCCCCCCAAAACAGTTGGATAAGACTGTTGCAACAGTTTGATGTATTTTACTAACAGGGACTAAAATAACTTCTGATATGCGGATAGGATTGTTTTGGTAGCTTAGCTGCATGGTAAATAGTCTGAAGAATTTTCACCGAGTTATTAACTGATATTTAATCTCTGAGGGTAGACTTATTAGGTTCTTTCATACTCTACACATACTCATTTTTTTCAGGTGTATACAATAGCACTTACTATTTATAATCTGAGAAGCAACGGTATGTATTTAAAAAAAAAATTCTCAGAAGCACTTCCAGGTGAACGTGGCAGGCTGCTTATGTGTTATCGCTATACTCTCACACCATGAACTGGACCATCATTGAATTTTAAAATGATAAATCTCCAAAGAGAAGGGCACACAATTCTGGAAGATGGACTTAGAAGGGCTGACAATAGACACAGGCTCCAGAATTCCCTGCTCGGCTAAATGTCCTCAGAGGGAGATGGCACAGGGACACCTTGAGCGAGCAAGGCCCAGCTAAGGAGAGGAGGGGAGAGGGGAGAAGAGGGGAGGGGAAGGGTAGAGAAGGGGAAAGGGGGCAACAGAAGAAAAAAGGGTGTTGGTTGAGTCTTTTCCAAAAAACTGTTAGATCCATTCCCTTCACACCTCCTCTGATGCCAGGTCTCTGGTCCTCACCCTCTCTGATCCAGAGACTTCCCTACACCCCTTACAGGAGAGGACAGTTTAACTTATAAAAAATGTAAACTTTGGGGACACCTAGCCCAGTGCAGGGCAGGGGTGAGACACCTGACTGAGAACGGGGATCTGGGGAAAGCACCAGCTTTCCCTAAGCAGCTGCCCCTGGTCCCAGCAATGACAAGAATGTTGGCAGCAGGGACCATGCTCCCCAAGGGTACTGAGGGAGTGTCTTCTTTCAGATTCCAGCCGGGTCCCACTACTGCAAAGGCTATCAGTTGACACACTCTCCCACACAGAAAGGACTTCAAACAGTGGTTCAGTGGCTCATTCTTAAATGTGGAGCTACGAAGGAATACAAGATTCACTCTGTCTGAGGAATGTCCCAGCAGGAAGCAGGTACACTGGGAGGAGGGGACCTAGAGGAAGTAGACACTTCAGTGAGAGTAATGTTCCCAGGCCATTACAAGACCCTCAAAGAGCTAAGAGAAGATTCCGTTGAACCATATAAGGCTCTGAGTTTTTGTAGCTGAAAACCTGCTCATTATCAGCAATTCACACGAATCAACTGAACACACATCGCATCCAAGAAATAAAACAGGATGCACTCAAAAGGGCAAAGAAACACCAACGAACATTGAAAATACGACCGGAAAAAAGGCTGGTACAAACATGGAACGTCAAGTCAAGAACAGCGCTGAGAAAGCAGAAGGACAAGGAGACAGGCAGGAAGGGAAAAAAGAAAGAAAAGAAAATTGAAGGATTAATCCAGAAAGTTTATCATCTGACTAGTAAGTATTCCAGAAAAGAAAAACCAGAACATGGTAGGGAAAACTTATCAAAGAAATAACAAGCCCGACTCCCCTGAAGGGAAGGACAGGTGTTTTCTGACCAAGGAGGCCACCAGGTGCTGGGGCACAGTGGAGAAGAAAGGCTCAAGGGGTGAAGAAGAGACCTTGGAGGACTGACATCAGATGGCAATGGACTTCTCATGGCGGCAACGGAGGCTGGGAGAACTGGGAATAACAAGGAGATTCCCCATCCACAGTGCCTTGAGGGAGGGCAGACGCCAGACACCACCTCCTCGAACTCTGGAAGCTACTAGGAGGCATTTTCCACCAGAGAGGAGTAGTAAATAGAGATCTAGAAAACAGGGGTCTGGCATGGCCAAGAGATGTAAGGAACTCAAAGCACGGTGGTGAAAGTTCTGGACACAAGCCATGCTGAAGGCAGTGTGAGGCCCTCACGTGGCTGGCAGTGTAGAATCTGATGGTGATGGTGCAGAGGAAGGAACAAATGTGCCAGAAAAAAAAAAAAAAAAAAATATATATATATATATATATATATAAAGGAAAAGATGAGGTATTTGTCAACTTAGGGAAAAAATAAAATGTATCTAGTGAGGATGGAGAGTGAACATGAGCACAGCCAGTGTAATTGATGAGGAGGCAGAGCAGGAAGCGTGGGCGGGTGGAAGGAGCCCAGTCCCTTCTACCTTAATAGGACGGCAGATAATGTTAAAAGTGATGAAACAAGACACATGCACATGTGCAGGGAGTTGAGAGGAGGTGGCTGGAAGGGACTGCTTCTAGAAAAAGGCTGAGGGGCAGGGAATGGAGGGCCATTTTGTGTTATAATAGACTTGCAGGGCTATCTGGTTTCAAAGGCTACATTATGATTTACTTTGATAAAATAAAAAATTAACTTGAAGAAATGCAGGGCTGTATTTGATTGCTCTGTGTAAAACATGGAAATCACAAGCTTTGTGTCCCACTAAGATGCAATTCTAAGCACTACAAACACACATAGTATAGTCAAGGACATACACTTGTGTCATTTGCACCATATGGCACTTGTGATTTGTAAGAGGGCACTGGCTGATTTACAAATAGCCATGCTTTGCCTCCACCTGAGCTAGTACTGGCTGATGGACAGTAATGCTAAATAAACATCTTTGCTTTTGTCTTGCTGGGCAGTACTCATGGAAGAGATAATGACTGAGATGTGTAGCTGAGCCTGTGTGCTGTTTCTATGGCAACCATTTACTGAACAGGCAGAGTGGCACCTCTTGGGGGTGGAGCCTGAGGAGTCCCTGATCACATACCTCTGATGTAATGCAGCAGGTGGGTGTAGTGTCCCAAGGCCTGTCAAGACTTGGTGCAGGTTAACCAAAGGCCAGAGATGCTCCTGCTGGCCCTCTGCCTTACAAGTGGGCCAGCGGCATCCAGAGCTGTACTTCCCTTCTCCCACCCACTTGGAGACAGTGGCGGGTGGCCAGCCTCTGTTCAAATGCAGTATCCCCATCCTCAAGCACGGCTTCTGCTTCCCTTTCACTTTGAGAGGAATATCAAGAAAAATGTGCTTTTTTTACCTAGTTCATAATTTCCCTCTCTTTTCTTACTCCAATCCTCTGTTTTAAAAATGACAATCAGGGCAACTGGCAGAGCTCCGAGTTGGCACTAAGAAAATGGGTTTTGAACCCGTGGGTTCAGGCAATCAACTCGACCCACCTGGGTAACTTGGCGAGACCTCATCTCTACAATAAAAAAATAAAAAATTAGCCGGGTGTGGTAGCGTGCACCTGTAGTTCCAGCTACTTGGAAGGCTGAGGCGGAAGGATCGCTGGAGCCCAGCAGGGCGAGGCTGTGGTGACCAGGAGCGGCCACTGCACTCCAGTCTGGGCGACAGAGTGAGACTCCAACTCAAAAAAAGAAAAAAACAGGTTTCACAGTGGAGTCAGACTGACTCAGACAAAGACCTCCTGGGGAACAGGCCCAGAGAAGGCCACTCAAAGTCACAAGGTTAACTAGAACTGAGCCCAGCCCCGGGGACTCCCGACTTCCCACTGTATTTTCCAGGCCATTCCCAGCATCTCGTGTGCTATGTGATCCTGGCCTCCTCAAAGCAGGGAGGCTGGTCACCAGGTACAGTACCCTGGCCCCTCCTCCCTTTCCCTAGACATGACCCAGGCCCCAAGAAGTGCCCCGAAATGGATAATTAGAGGCATGACCTTTACACCATCCAATAAATTCAAAATCTCCTCTGGATCCAACAAAATGAGGGAACCTATGTTAAGGGCAAAAATGGAGCTGGTCTCGCTTTGGTGAACAGCATAAGCCAAAGCCCTAAACAACAGTGAGCTTGCCTGGTGCCAGAGTAGGGTGCATTTGTCACCTGAAGCAGCCTGGCCCTGGAAGTGGTGGCAGGAGCTGGAACTGGGGTTCCTGCAGCCCAGCAATGGCCAGCCCCATCCTGATGTGGGCCAAGGGGAGCCTGAGGCCTCTCTGGCCTGGCTCCTCACCTGTGCACTCAGCCACCCAGGATCAGTCAGTCAATTCAACTCACTGGGATACAGCAGAGAACAAAATTAGGCAGTCTTCATGGAGCTTCCCTCCAAGTGAAGGGGACAGATGATCCAAAGGCAGGATGAGCTGATGGTATCCTATCTTGGAAATGGAAAGTGCTCTGGAAAAGAACTCCAGGGAGGAAGGCTGGAGTCAGTGAGGAGGGTTCACACAAGTTCCCAGGGTGGTCCAAGGTGATCTCACTGAGAAGATGATATCTGAGTAAAAGCTCCATGGGCACAAGAGAGTGCGGCATGAGATCACCTGTGGGGACCTTCTTAGGCCCATGGCACAGCCGGTGCAAAGGCCCATGTGGGTACCATGCCCGGTGTTCTGAGAAACAGCAGGGAAGCTGTGTGGTGGGAAGGATTTTGGATTCTGCATCAATGAGACATCAGTGGGTTCCCAGCAACATACTGTAGATGGTCCCATCCTGCTAGCACAAAGTCTGTGGGCTAGCCAATAGAAGACATCAGCTTCCAATCCAGGTCAATGGGAAAGACTGAGTGTCAGGCTTTGGCTGAAGTGTGTTTGCTGCACCACCTTCATCTAGCACTTTCTTGGCTCTACAGCTGTGAGACCACTGAATCCCACTGCTCCCCCGGCCCTCTCTCAGTCCCAGTCAGAAGCCTGGGACAGCAAGTGACATACTGAGTTGCAACCCAAGATCCTCCTTGTTAGCTGTGGGAGCTATGCCAAGGCAACCCTCTGGGCCTTAACTTCCACATGCAGGAGGAAGCAATCAGGGTACCTCTGCTCCTCACAGGGCTGTGTGACCCTCAGCACCCCTGTGGGCAGGGCCAGCACAGCAGCTCCTGGGTTCTTCATCTGACAGGGGAGGTCACTGCATTCATGCTTCTTGCACGCTGACTTATGAAAGGCCATGGCCATGGCTGTCAGTACCTCTGACTCGCTGATATGAGAGGCTTGGAGCTTCACCATGCCCACCTGCCTGTTCCCTGAGGAGATGAATTGCTTATTTTGTCACTTTTTTTTACTCCAGAAAATGCTACTGAATTCTCTTCAAGAACCTCAACGAAGCTGGTGACATTTAGGATCTTGTATGCTTTTAGACAGATTAGTTTTTCTATAATTTAAATTTAAATAAGAATCTGTCTTTCTTGAAATGATAGCAATAAATAATCAGTGGACTATGGGCTATAGTGTGCCAACCAGTGCCTTGGATTATAAACCCAGGCACCATTCTTTCACACTGAGGAAAGCCAGCTCCAGCCAGTCATACACTCCATCTCTCTGGAGTCATCCAACCACATGTGACAGTCTCTGTGTGCTGATTCCCTAGTTGATCTGCTCATATTTTAAGAGGGCCAGCTGATCCTGACTTACCAAGGCAACTGGAACCCTGAGCACCTGTTAATCAGGATGTGACAATGTCCTCCATGATCACAATTAACCTTTTGGAGCTAAATATCTCACGTACCTACAGAGCCGGTTCCATCTATGATGGCGGTCACAGTGGAGAGGGCATGGGCGTTCCCCTTCAGACTTTTATGAGTCCCCTAGGAGAGAGGAAAAAGCACATGTGAAACATTTCTCAGCAGCATTAGACGTGAGTAAGAAACCCAAGTCCTCCATATGACAATCTACTGAATCTGCTCTGCAAAACAATTCATCATATAAGATGGCTTCATTAGAAAACTCCCACTCTACCCTGGTTTGCCTGTCCAAGCATATTCTAGTTAAGGAGCCCTTAGGATTCTCTTCAAATAAATGTTTATTCAGTACATTCATACTCTTTCCTGAGGCACTACAGCAACCAACATGAGAAATAACACGATGAATGACACACAGCTCTATTCCCAAACTGCGCCAGTGTGCACAGTCACGGTCCTATGTTTGCTGAATTCCCCAACAGCTGGGACCTTCCCATGGCATGTGTCAAATATCTCTGAGGCATCTTAAACTCAACCCAACCCAGAGCAAATGCCAGGGGATGGGAAAGAGAGGAGAACCCAAGAAGCCAAAGTAGGGGATACAAGTCCTCAATGGCCAACAAACGAGAGCTCTGGTTTTTATTTTATTTTATTTTTTTGAGTTGGAGTATCATTTTGTCGCCCAGGCTGGAGTGCAGTGGCACACTCACGGCTACCCCAGGGTCAACCTGCTGGGCTCCAGCGATCCTTCTGCTTTAGCCTTCCAAGTAGCTGGAACTACAGGTGTGTGCTACCACACCCAACTAATTTTTGCTCTATTGTAGAGACGAGGTCTTGCCAAGTTGCCTGGGCTGGTCTTGAACACACAGGCTCAGGCAATCCACTCTCCTCAGCCTCCCAAAGTGCTGGGATTACAGGCTGAGCCACCAAGCGTGGCCTGCTCTGGCTTTTAAAACGTGGGGGTAAAAACCACAAACTGAAGACAGTAGAAGGAAAAAACATCAGGAGAAAACAGTGCCTGGAAGCCTAAACCTATAAAAATAAACCTGAGCTTGAGAAAATAAATGCTTGTGTGTGTGTTATATGTTTATAATAGAAAATAAAGGGACACATAGTATGAAAATCAGCCAGAATCCACTGACCTAAAAAAAAAAAAAAAAGAAAGTTCTTTCTTTTCTCTACCATGAGGACTGACCACTGTTAATGGTCTGACGTGAATCCTTTCAGAATTTTCCATGCCATACAGACACCCAAGGTCAAGCTTTATAAAGCAGTTTCAGGACATGCCCAACACAAAGGAGGCTGGGCCAGGTGTGGCCTGTGGCTGTGGTGATGACATGGGGAACTGGAGACAGGACAACCCTAAGCCCCTAGTGCCTCTACCCTGTGCTTGTCTCTTAAGACTGTTGGAGACAAGAACCCCCGCCTCCCTCAGAATGAAAAGCAGCCTGAGACTGAGAACAAAGCACAAGACACTTTTGCTGCTCTGAATGGTGGGTCTCCTGGGCCATCCTGCCTGGGGCTCTAGGAGAAGCATGGGGGAAGGGATGGTGGGAGAAGGCAGGAGACTGCAGGTGTAGGTTAGCTGTACAAAGGTGCTTCTAAGAATACACATGATTGCCAATGGAGGCTACCAGTCACAAACGACCTAGTGCCCGTGGGGCACACTCCCTGCTGCACTCACCAGGTCTGCGGAGACGGCGGTGGTGATGAGCGCATAGGGCCCGCTGACCAGGGCACCACAGAGCAGCAGCATTGCTGTGGAAAGCAGAAGGGCACTGAGGATGGAACCATGGTCTCCAAGAAGCCCCACAGTGGGTAAGGCATTTCCTAAATCAAATTGCGCCTAGCTCCTGACTCTTGATGGGAGGAGCTGCTGCCATATGAAAGGTGGTGAGAGGCCTGGTGGCATAAGCACACACCTAAGCAGGGCCCATGGCAGGTGGATGATACACTTGGCCACCATTCTATCTGCAGCAGAGTACTAACTCTCATCACCAACAGTTGCTGAGGTATGCTCCCTGTGGGCAGGACAGCCATGCTCTCAGAACTGCAGTCACTGTCCTAAACTATCCTCTAGGCTCACTTTCCCAAACTAGCCTTTGGGCTCCTGCCCCTGTGAGGAAGCTTCGGCTCAAAGTGTCACTGAAAACCCCATCTCTCCTCACATTGCAAGCTGCTTTCTGAATGACTTTCTTTTTCTTTTTCTTTTTAAGTTGGAGTCTCACTCTGTCGCCCAGACTGGAGTGCAGTGGCCACTCCTGGCCACCTCAGCCTCGACCTGCTGGACTCCGGTGATCCTTCCGCCTCAGCCTTCCAAGTTGCTGGAACTATAGGCGCGCGCTACCGCACCCGGCTAATTTTTTGATTTATTGTAGAGATGAGGTCTCACCAAGTTGCCCAGGCGGGTCTCGAACCCGCGAGCTCTGGCAGTCCACTCACCTCAGCCTCCCAAGGCGCGGGATTACAGGCTGAGCCACCGAGCCCGGCTTGGATGACTTTCAATGGGATCACACAGATCTCTGCTACTGACTTGCTAGGACAGAAAAAACATTTACCAAGAGTTGTAGGCGTAACTTGACAGTGCTGGAGCAGGAAGTTGAAAACAGTCTTCCAGTATTATTTAACCGCTCCCCGAGTGACAACTGACAGAGCAGCTGGGAGGTGGTGGGCTAGGAGTCTGCCCAGCCCTTGCTCCCAGCTGGACATTGCTTAGGTTTCACTGCTGGGTTCTTGGCTACTGGCCATGGCCCAAGAGTCCTGGGCTGCTGTCCCTACCGGGTTGCAGGTCTGGGACTGCTGCAGCTCCAGGGGCCACAGGAGGGGCTGCCCTCTGGGTCACAGCTGACTTCTCTGTATACCTCCTTTCCATGGACGCCCTGGGCTCACACTGCCCAGCCCAGAGTGTGTACTCTGCCTCATGCCTGGGAGCGGAGTTCATGGCCTCTCCTGATGGCTTCACTCAGAGGGACATAGGACTCTTAGCCACACCATGTACTGCAGTGACCCCAGTTGGATTTTTATATTTCATCTCCCAAGCTGTGCAAACAATATGTGTATGAGGGAAGAGGCCCTGTGTACTCACCTACAGTGGCCTCCAGCCCCATCTTGCTGATGGTGGAGAATATGTAGAGCTGTGAACAGGATCAATCAGGTGACTTTCAAGCAGCCAACCCAAGAGAGGAAAACCCTAAAAAAGGCCACGTTCCCCTACCACCTGTCTAAGGCACCCAGCCTCCACCTAGCCTCGTGGGTTGTGGGCCAGGGGCTCCAGGGACCTTGGGAAGCCCCATGATCCTCCCCCTGTGCTCCAGCACTAAGGGATGCGGCATGACCCAGTTTCCCTGGCCCCTTATCTGAGTCTGAATGCTGCGTCCTTGGTTGTCTACCCCAGGCCCTGTACCTCCCAGAAGGGCCACCCTCCCAGCCCAGTCATTTCCTATGGAGTGTTCTTTGCGTGTCCGGGTTGGGCAGCGTCTGAGGCCCCAAGGTGACTGAAGACCAGGCCCTGTTCTGGGGACAGTCACAGCCTCGGGGAGGCAGATGTGCAAAGAAGTACAGTGCATGGTGATGAGCGGTCACATCACCCCCAATACTATCATGACAAAATGGAGACATGACGCACTACTTTCCATTTAGTCTTCCCAACTGCACTGTAAGGTGGTACTGTTGTCATCCCCATTCTTCAAATAGGGAAACTAAAGCAGAGAGATGGAGGTCACCTGCTCAAGGTCACGAGCTATGAAATGCTTGGCGGGTACCATGAACCAAGTGTCATGATGGGAGGGGACAATGACACCTAGGAAGTGGGGAAAATGTCAGGGATTCCAAAGGATAAGCAGGAGCTTGTACAGGGCAGGGAGGAGAGCCCAAAGAGAGAAGCAGCCTATGTGAAGCCCATGATGTCCTAGCAGCAGCTGTGCATGCAGAGGATGTAAGGGGAGGCATAGGAGAGAAAGGATGGAGGTGAGGCCCACAGGGCACCCAGCAAGGGACATGGTCCAGGAGGCATAAGCGTGAACAGAGTTGAGCTTGTCAGAGAAATGGTGTCCTCTTCTACCCAGCCAGGTAGAAGAGGACACTGGCTGGCAGGGAGGACAACTGAAGGCTACCCGCAGGTGGGGTCCCAACAAGGCAGCAGGGCTGACCGTGGGGGCTGCGAGCAGCAGCATCAGGCCGCAGGTAGAGGCCCGCTTCTCCAGTCGATCTGAGATCACACCTGCCAGAATTCCACCTGCAATGGAGAGGGGCAGACTTTAGGCACTGGTGTGGCTGGGTACAAGCCTTTGGAGAGGAAACAAAACTGCGGACAAGGAGGAGGGAGCCTCCTTTCCCAAGCCCCATCTTCATGCCTCACAGGCAGGTGGCCTCTCCTGGGCTAACCTTCCCACAGGTCTCACTTGGCTGTGGGCAGATGAGAGACAGCGAGAGGCATCTCCTGGTGAGGCATCAGGCATCGGCATTCAGGTTTTAGGCCAGCACCAGAGCCCCTTTACCTGCAGGGTTACTAACAACCAGACTTTCACCTCCTCAGGGGGACATGCTGCTTCCAGGAAAAGCTGTTCATGTGCAGAGTCAGGGCCCAGAGGAGGGGGCCCACACCATAGTGATGGCCTGACCCTATGGGGCCAAGTACACTCCAGGTATAAGTCCTTGTGGGACCTGCTCCCTCCCTCTCAGTAGTGAATCAACTCAGAGCCCATGGGCCACAGGTGCAGACAGCACTGTGAAATTCCTGTCACAGTGGAACATATGGTAACAAACTCACCAAAGATTCCGCCCACATCAAACAAGGTGGAGAGCTCCCCAGCCTTTTTGGCATCAAGGTGATCTATGAGAATGACAGCAGAGTGAGCCAATGAGGACGCTCTTCCTCATGGGAGGTGCCAGGCAGAGTAAGGCCCTCACATGAGACCCTTCTGCTCCATATGTGGGATTTATACCAAGTAGCAACTATTTGTTTTTTTGTTTTTTTTTTTGAATTGGAGTCTCACTCGGTCACCCAGACTGGAGTGCAGTGGCCGCTCCCGGCCACCGC